CTTCAGCATACTTTCAGCTCTTTCAGCTATCAAAATGTTCAGCTCTTCAAGGACATTCATGCTTCTATTCAGAATATTTCTAAACTTCATACTTTTGAAATATTTAGCTTTATTTTGAAAGTTTTGCCCCATTCAAATGAATGGGAAAATTCTACTTCAGCATAATTTCAGTTATCAAAATGTTGAACTCTTCAAGGACATTCATGCTTCTCTTCAGAATATTTCTAAACTTCATACTTTTAAAATATTTATCTTTATTTTGAAAATCTTGCCCCATTCAAATTAATGGGAAAATTCTACTTCAGCATACTTTCAGCTATCAAAATGTTCAGCTCTTCAAGGACATTCATGCTTCTATTCAGAAGTTTTCTAAACTTCATACTTCAACATCATTTCTGCTTCATTTATTTCATCTCATCCTTCAGATTATTCAACAAAGAACTTCAGCCACTTCTTCTCAACTATTTTAACAAAAATTCAGCAATTTCTACCCTTCCGCTGTTTCAGCAATTGATATCAGGCATTTTCAGGGCGATCCTTCAGCATCACAGCATCCACACACATTTTCGACAGGAAATGCATTTCTCTAATTTTACTTGCTTTGTGTCTACTTTTTATTGCTTTGCATCTCTTTGTAGTTGCTTTGTTTTGTGTCTTTTTTGTGGTTTGGCATATTTTTGTAGTCATTATGTTTTGTGTTTTTCTCTTATTGGTCATGTTATGTCCTATTGTTTTGCATCTGATTTTTCTCATTTTGTGGCTTTTTGTAGTCATATGATTGACTTTTTGGACCCCTGGGCTTGTGCTTGGTAGGCAGGCCTACTCTCATCCATACCTGCAAAGTACCATGAGTAACTGGTAGGGCAAGGGCTGTTTCATAAATAGTGATTTGATTTGGGTAAAGGGCAGAAAGGGAAAATATGGCACACCTTTCCTGCACCAGTTTTCATTCATTCCCACTTGAATCATTTTACCATGATTCTCAAATAGTGAAGTTAAACATACCGCCAGGTGAGAAAGTATCAAGGGATTTGTGAGGACCATCTGAACATACACAAGTCAATTAGTATAAAATTCCAAAAGTTAGACACAAAAGGTAGGCTCTCTCCCAATATATGCAACTGGGCTATGGTGGTTTGTAACAGGTCACTGATAATGGTCTTTTTTGCAACAAACTCTTTACTGGACATAAGTTTTTCTAAAGCAACAGAAAAGTAAAAAAAAGCTCTAAACCCATGCAAGTTTGAAGGTTAGTCTGGTGAGAACATGAAAAATTACATTTGCTCTGTGGCATTTATTCACAGATTAATTTTGACTTAGTTACAAAAACTACATGTACATTTAAGTATCTGAGGTGGGTTTCATTATGCAATTTATATGCAATTTACCGTCAACCCTTTTCTGTGAAATCACATGAGCCCAGAACTAAAAGAGAAAGTGCAGCCAACAGGATAAAAGGAAGGGTGGGCGGGGACGCATTAGCAGATGCAGGGAAGTGGGATGCTTTATCTCCAGCAGCAACCTTCATCCTGCTTATACTGCACAGCTGAACAAATCTCCTGAGAATGCAATGTTGCCGTGGTTAAGAACTGTAACTTGTAATAAGTTGTAATGCCTGGAAACTGAAAAACTCTGAATTTAATGGTCACTTTAAAGAGTGGTGTTAAGACTGATGAATCCTGGGGATACCATCAGAAGTTCTTGCACACTAGTAGCTCCATGGTTTTTTAAAAACATAGGTAAAATTAACATACTGTATCAGTCTATGATGGCTATATGGAAATACAAGCATACATTGTGGCTGAAAATCAATTTTAGACAAAAGCAGCAAGAACCTGATGTTGAAGATTATATTTAGTAACAAGGTCTTTCTACTTAAAGCCAGGAGAAGTTGTGCGTTTCCACCAGACTTTTTTTGAAAGTGTTTGGGAACTTTGTATACAGGTCGACTCAGTTGGCCTTGTTCTCTGTAGTGTGGAGAAGCCCTGGCTTCCTTAACCCTAGAACTGACCGTCACTCTGCACTGATTTAATAAGATAGACACACAACCTGTAATGTTTTCAAAAAGCAGTGTAACTATCACTCATTTGACACTACAGCCGTCTCACATGTTGGTTCTCTAGTCTCTCTTCTAAAGCACGCATCATCTCAGAAAACACTCAGTGTACATCGTGTAGGAATATGTGGAGCTAGGAAAGAGGACATGCTAATTCACACTGCCAAGCTAATACCTCACAGGACATGACATACTGCAAAGGGCCAATTTTCACTTTAATAACTGAGGTACTGTCCCTGCAGAACTCCGTTCCTTCCATACAAAGCCCGTTAGCCCACAGTATAATCTTGCTACAACAAAGTTAAAGAGTAAAACTCAGTAATAATACGTTCAACATAGTGTCAACCTTTGTACTTGACAACCAGGCTTCATAGTATCACTGCTGTTGTTCTCATCACAGACAATAAGGCAAATACACCCAAATCGGGTGTACACAAGCTTTTTTTTAGATTCATCTAAGTCATCTGTCTCTGCCAGGCTCCCTCCCAAGAACTCAAACGC